TGTTTATGGATGTATTTTATACTTTTTTCATATAAGAAGTGTACAGCATAAATTAGAAGAATGAAATAGTAATGATTATAAAATACATTTCAGTTGTTGTACACTTCAGTAAAAACAACGTTTTACGTTTCATTTCCATTTACGGGAATAAGAAAAGTTTGATTTTGTGATGAACCGATACGTGAAAGTGCCACATATAATTGGCCATGCGTAAACACTTCGTTACGGAGATCAATGCCGACAACGTTAAAGGTCTGCCCTTGGGACTTATTAATGGTAATGGCAAAACATGTCTTTACTGGAAACTGGACACGTTTAAACGTAAATGGCAAATCCGTTGGGATCATTGGTACCCTTGGAATCATCGTTATTTCTCCCGTTGCCGGACCGGTCAAAATTCTTGCCTTTATAAGATTGGGGAAAAAACGTATGATTTGAAGACGCGTACCATTACACAACTCGGGTGGCTTAAGATTGCGTAAAAGAATTACGGGTGTTCCAGCTTTAAGTTTTAGCTCATGTGGAGGCATACCTGCGGGGTTTAAGGAGTTAAGAAACTCCACAGGGTAATGAACCATATCGTTGGGGTCAGTTACTGAATTTACAGACTTATAGAGTTTGTATTCTGTTGAAATTCTGCTCAATACTGCTTCATTGATATCTTCTGCTGCCGAATTTTTCGAAGTGACAATTGCACGTTCGCAAAGCCAATTGGAATTAATAATTTGTATGTTTGCAATGTTTGGATAAACATTATCAATAAGCTCATCAATACTTCTTACGCAGGTTCCTACGATATCCGACATGGTAACATACCCATTGCGTGTTATAGTTGCTGAACCGTTGCCTATTTGTAGAAGGTACTGAGCAAATACTTCAGAGCAGCTATTTACACTGAGGTACGCGCGCATGTTAACTGATAAATGCAATTTTTTTATATATGGCCAAACTTCCGAAGCTTTTAAGCAAGCATTAACGATATCAGCTCGTGTGCCTTTCGGAACCACAGGTAGTGTTTGCCTAAAATCGCCTGTGAACACAAAACTAATTCCGCCCATTACCGCATCAGATGATCTCAAGTCCTTAAGAGTTGTATTGACGGCATTAATATGAGACTTATGGGACATCGTACACTCGTCCCATATAATCAGTGATGCCTGCTGAAGAATCTTAGCAGCGGCACTATTTTTTTTTATCGAACATGTGCAGCTTTGTTCCGGTAAAATGCTGAGTGGTAGTTTGAAAGTGGAATGAGCAGTTCTTCCTCCACTCAAAAGCGTGGCAGCAATTCCCGAGGACGCCACTGCGATTGCAATTTTATTTTCGCTACGAACTTTAGCTAGAAGCAATGAAGTAACAAAGGTTTTACCCGTTCCCCCAGGTGCATCTATGAAGTAAACATTTCCTATGTTTTGGTTTACGTTAGCTATGACTTCATTATATATTAATCGCTGTTCTGAAGTAAGTTTTGGTTCGTTCTCTTGTACAAATCTATTCAGGTCAGTAGTGTTGTAGGATGTTTCTCGTATGTAATAGAGGTTGGCTAAGTATGAACTTTCTCGATTGGGACTTGGCAATCCAAAGTCTCTAAGCCGTTTTTCACCCAGTGAAAAAACTATATTTTCGATAAGAATAAGCCCTTCGTTGAATATATCATCATTGGAGTTAATATTAGGGTTATTACTTTGCCTCCTCGTATTATGCAAAATGTCATCGCATAAATTTTTCCGAAATATGTTCCACAATCCAATTGGATCCGAAACTTCACAAAAAATTAGGATTATTGCAAATAGTTCTCTCAATTTGTTTGCGCTTGCCGAAATTGTTGCGTCTGATAAAGCATCTTTCCAGTGTGTATCGTGCTTGACATGCTGCACGATAAGTCGGTAAAACCTCTCCATCGATTTTCTTTAAATCCATAAAAGATGTGGGACCTCGAACAGAATGTAATAAGAGTCTGAGATAGAAACATTCCGAATAATTAGGATGTATTGTATAAACTCTTCCCAAAGCGGTGTCTTGCTTGATCCCTGGGTAATTAGGTACATCTTGTCCACGTTTCCTTCGTTTCCACTTTTTATTCGTCCAAATGTAATATGCTGGAACTTCGTTATAAAGCAAAGTTTTCGCGAAGCTATCAGTCGTACATAGTTTGAAAAACGAAGTAAGAGTTGTTTCCGGTGGATTCTGAATAACATGGTTCAAAGTATTTGGAGTAAAATAAACCCTTTGCCCATTCTCCAAATGCACAGCCAGATGTGTGACTGTTGGATAACGTTCGTGGATCGAAAATCCTAGTATTCTCCAAATCCCTTCAGAAGTGCTTAGATATCTCCCATTTAAGAAATTTTTTATTTCATCATGTCTATCCTGAACAGAAAATGTAGCTGCGTCGCTGCCCGTATTTGCATATATATTTAATTGCTTGCACGGAATGGCAATATTCTACGTTAATGTGCGCTGCGAAACATCTCGAGAGCATGGGGCAATAAGGAACTATCCACGTATTATCGACTGTGCAACCATTAGAAGCTAACATATGAGTGAATCCCCCATCGGCTGGAGATCTCCGTCTATATCTAGGATACCCGTCATCGCCTGTTTGTGTGTGCTGAAGGAATTCACGTGGAAATCTTTTAGAACATTGGCCATTTACCATGCATGGTGAGGTGAGATTTCGCGAGCCACAGGGGCCATGGATCATATTTTTACATACTATTTCATACAACAAAGGATCTTCGTGATTGTTAGGGATTTCCGCTGAAATTATACTGTCTATCTCATCGGGTCGTATTTTAACGGCCAGCCAAATCAAGATGTGGGCATGTGGTAGTCCCCGCTTTTGCCATTCCACTGAAAACATGTGGCACTTCACTGACCCAAATATGTTCTGTTTGGTTATTATATCCATTAGCTGATGTAATTTCAAATGAAAGACTCTTGCTACAATATCATGGCGCTCGCTTCCGCGTTGACCAGAAAACAATTGCTGTGTTATTTCACTCCAGTCCGGGTTACATGTAAAGGTTACAAATAAATCGGGTCTTCCATAATGTCGTACATACAACAGGGCATCTTGTGTGCGCTCATGGAGGTATCTGGGCGACCCCGTAAAAGTGGAGGGTAAAATAACTAATTGGTCTACATTTTCCGGGTTAGCGTCTTCGTTTACAGCATCTCTTAAGTGCACGTAATTATCGACACGTAACGTCCTTTGATGAGCCCGTATACAATTTAAGCGCTCAGTGATCATTTTTGCAGCCATATCTACACAATACTGATTGAAGAGTTGCCCATACCTGTGTAAGCTGTTAAAGTTGTTTTCTCTTGTCATAAGCCTATATGAATAATATTGCATACAGGACACTAATTGTGATGGAACAACCTCCCCAGTTATTGGCGAAACTTGAGGAATGTCAATGCTGTAACCATCTTCGCCATTTAAAAACATTATTGGATATTGTAAGGGATCATAAGACCGATGAAGTTCCGATATCCGCTGAAGACTATTATCGCGCGATCGTAACACAATATCAATGGATCACAATCCTGTAATTTTCATCGCTAGTAGATATACATTCCATTGCCGTCTTCAAACTTCGCAAGTAAGCATTATTTTCGTGAAGAATTCGCTGCAAAGATTCTAAAATATCTCTTCTAGGAGCGGGTGCGGCAGTTTGCCGCAAAGAAAGCTGTTCATCTTCGGTAGTAAAATATATTTGCAGAAATTGTGGCGTCGTTTGCGCTGCTGGTAGCAAGCTACCAATAAGGTGGTAAACCTGACCATGAACTTTGTAAGTAGGCATATAATTCCCTTCTCTAACTTCTTTACCACCAAACGATGTCATTGCAAAACAGCGGTTGTATTTCCTTATATTTTGTAGAAAATGGCTTGACATTTCATCCGTTCGGCTTAACAAAGCTGTGAGTATGTCTGGAGGTTCAGACATATCATGAAGTCGAACCCGGCCACTACTGCAACACATTCCCTTCGTTTCCTTTCGCCATTTTTTCGCATTGCATTGCAAACATATGTGTGTAATTTCCCCAATTGATAGAAGCGGATCACCTACATATACATATGTATGTACTTATAATGTGTTGTAATCCATTGGTTACAATAATAAAAGTAAAGATCTCTCTTCACAAATCAGTGCCGTATCAGTTCAGTATTATTGCCAATCAGCATCGATCAGTGATACCAATTCACACACATCCGTAGTATGTCGTCCGGTACTTTCAGTAAAATGAAGTTCATTGACACCAAGATGGCTTATTTTACTAATGATCAATTGGCAATTATTGCCAAATTATATAATTCTGGATAATTCCGTACCCACTCGATTAATTTTCCCTCCAACAAAAACAACAACACTTGCAATAGAATACCGTCAGCTCGTCAGTGAAATACACAAACAAACCATTGCCGAGTTAACTATACTCCAAAAAATTTTTGTTTAAATTTAAGCATATTAAAGTTTCCTCTCTTAATGTATGCAAATTTGCACACCATGTTAATCAATTTAAATACTGCTTTTTAACTTTTACTTACCATATCGCACACCGTCTTCAAAAGAGTCACAACTCAAAATTTGGAATTTTTGAGATCATACGCTAAAAATGTACACAGAGCTTTTATTTACCTTTCAGCAAAAGCTGGAGCAATTTTTGGTTATAATTTGTTAAAAAAACCTATGGTAAAGCCGCCTTGCCCATATTATTATCACGTGCTAAGAAATAGTTTTTCGCATTTTCTGACAAACGTATTATTTTGAGTTGTGACTCTTTTGAAGACGGTGTGCGATATGTGTGGCGTAGAACAAATTTGAAATTTGTTTGTTGAATTATAAACACTTAAGGCCAAATTCACTGTGCGTAGTTAACTCAGAATCGGCAGTTAACTACAGATTTTCAGTACAGCACTGTGATAAAGTATAGTTAAATCATAAGTTAAACGTAACTACAAAAATTTCTATAGAATTTTCTTAAGGTTCGCAATTACACGGTTGCACATGAAATGTTTAAAATTTGCTTTAAAAGTTTTTTTTTTAAATTAACGCATACTAAGAAAGGATACCAGTTTCCTCTCCTCTAATGTGTGCAAATTTAGACACCGTGTTAATAAAATTAAACACTGCCTGTTTACTTTTACATACCAAATTTCATGCGTAAAACAAAATTACACATAAAATGTTCTAAATTTTTATTTTTAGTAGGGAATGTATTTTTGCGTTAAAAGCATTTGCAATTTTAAACATTTCATGTGTATTCTTGAACATCTTATGCGTATACTTACACAGATTTTGTTTGAAAATAAACACTTATCAGTAGCACTTTTACATGTAGTTTTTAGAGTGTATAAAACTGCACTGACGGTAAAAAACGGCACTGTGCCGGACGGTCTGAACAACTCTATTTGGGACTGGGGCAACGATATTATATTTTTCACTGACACTGATAGGTACGGCACTGATATGTGTAGATAGGCTTTTTTTTGTAAAAATCACCTATATAATTGATTTGAGGTCGATAAATAAACGCGGACTAATTCCGATTGCAGGCATCGTTTCTACTCGCGCACCCGCTACTAATCTCCGATTACGGGCCATCGCCCTTGCGGCTCTCGATTGTCTTGACAAATTTGTTTTAGCTTTAGGCATTTTTAACCACGTCCCACTATTCTGTTATTTTAAAGATTTTTTTTTTATATTTAGTAACGAAATTGCACTTTTTATAAGTCAAAAAACTCAGCCTCTAACGCACTTGCTAACTTAACAACTTCGCGAAAACAATGTGCCGAATTCCCATGTAGCCCAAAAAATAGACATACATACATATGTACATCATTGATTTGCTGTTGTTTGTTTGTGGAAAAATGGAATTCGGCTAGACAGAGGCAGGATTCCCATAAAAAACATGAACATGTACATATGTATGCATGTATAAAAATCTAATTCGATTGATCGAATGTTAATCTGTTGAACTGACATTGTTGAGTTTTTTTTTGTGCAGAATTTGCATGAAGCGAAACAGACATTTCTTTGCTGTTATTTATTCTGTATGCTACTACAGCGACGTAAATTAAGGTTCCTGCTGCGCAGCGGCAACTGCTTTTTTAACGAACTTC